CATGAAATTGATTGCATTTGTCTTCTTGACTCGCAATTGTATGCCCAACTTAGCAAGCTTTCAAGCCGTGTTAGTGCCTGGCCAGCCTCTCCGCCACACACCATTAGAAGCCCTCACTACCACCCCAATTATCCAACACAGCAACCACTATCAGTTAAAGTCAACCCATAAAGAAACACCAACACACTCACAAACTGCTGCCCCAAGCTGCTCTCAAATTGCTTGTAATTTCTTGCCAATTTTGCCTAAACAAATTGTTCATACTCAGTACAACAGACAAACATGCACCACAATAAATGTAACATCAGCAGACTGGCCTAGGTCATACTTGGAGGTCTCTATCATATTCTGCATTGCCCCACTTTTCCTTTTTCTCTTGGGAAGCAGAGGTTCTGCACCGGATATTTTTTTCAATTCCTCCTGGACCTTGACAAACGACAGAAACAATCCACATGGGTCTGGTTCCTCCAAAATAATGCCCAGAAATGTTTGCCCCAGTTGGGTGCCCGTGAGTAATGCTCGGCCCTTCTGGTGGAGGTATACAATCACCAAGTATCCCTCAATGGAATTAGCCTAGGCAAGACCAGTGAGCTGTGGATTTATGCCCAAAAGTTCAGCTCAAAGATGTGATAAATGCTACAGGAAAAAACTTACATCCCTGATTAACTTTTTAGACCACCAACTGACATTGAATGACTTTGGCTTTGCAAGTTTCCTCTTCTTGGATTGTGCCAATTTGCTTGGCCCTGGAGCGCCAGTCAATGACTCCTCATCAGACTCATCTTGCGCAATATTATGATCGCCTTGGTGATTCTGATCCTCTGGTAAGAAGGTATTCAGGAACGTATCAAGAAAGGCTGGATCTCAATAGTTCTCTTGTGTGTTGGTTCTGAGCTCCCGCCACAATTTACCACACTTTGACCATTTTTCATACATTGTTAGGTTTTCTGTCAAGATGGACACTCTGTTTCAGCGGACACATAATCACAAAAAGTGAACACATAGAGAAAGCGGAACGTACGGTTGCAGCAAACTTATGTTGCTCAAGTATTGTACTGGAAAAAGTTTTTGTAGATTGTTCCCCCATGCACACGGCTTAATTAAACAAGTTAGCCCAAGACTGAATCAATATGGAGGCAGTTTTTGCATGTTATGATGTGGATCTTTCTTTGATACTTGTTGTAGGCCTCGTCTAGTTCATCTTTATCTTCTGCAACAAAACAAACATAGTGGGTGTGCTTCTTCACCTTCACACGGAGTCAATCAAGCTCCTCGACCAGATGCAGACCTAGTATCATATGTGTTTTACCACATGGAAGGCCTGGTCAAATGAACAGGTCATTTGAGTCTATGTCTGACATCTCACCCTCTGCCTCAGGCAATACACCAGGCAGATCCCTCCTTTGCACTTCTGACACAAATTATATCAATAAACATCCCAACCAAACTTTGAGCGATGCGGAGGACTATCCTCCTACTTATGAAAATTTTGCCGCATTCCCCCTGGACCATTGGTTTTGGAACAAGAGACTTTACTATTACTCCAAGGCGCCTTGGGCAACCAATCCAAACGTTTGAGCTGGAATTCAAGCTCTTCTCACACTCCGCCAAGTACAAGATTAATTTCAACTTCTTGCGCAGGCAGGCTGTAGGATGGGGGGTTGCATACTGCAATTTGCTGGCGGACTCAGTGGCTTATATCTCAAACCGTAATAGTTGTTTTATTTTCTATTTTATTTTTTTCTCTTCTTTTGGGGTGTTTCAGAAACTAATGTGTCCACCTGTGTGCGGACAGGTGTCTCTGGTTTGGACCAGGGCTCTGAAGAGCTTCCGAACAATCACTTAGACTTGTTGCACATGGGTTGTTATGATCTAGTCAGAGGCCTGCAGTGCCCAGTTTTACTTAAGCCCCCTGGCAAAATGTGCCAGGGGTGTCACTCTCTGAACTCAGGATACCACACTCAGGAAAACGGGGAATGACTCCTCATCCTGCAATCTACATACTCAGACAA